CTTCGTGAGACAAATGTGCTCCGAGACAAATGTGCTCCTACAGCGCTGTGTAGTATTTCTACTAGAAGCGCAGTCCGAACGCAATCAATCGACAATTTAAACGCCGAAACAACGCAGTACAACGCCGTGGAAGCTCCGTAGCATCCCCGTGATCGCCTTGAGGACGCCATGAAGACGCCGTGAAGTATACATGTCATAAAAAATTTAAAATTTTTGATTGCGATCTCGGGGCGCTTTGTTAAATCTAACAACGACTTGCTAACGCTGTGAAAGCGCAGTCTACTGTGACTGGGCCTTAAGTTGTTGTCAGTAGGCAGTAAGTAGTAGGCTGTCGTTTATAGAATTCCGTATAGACTAGCTGTATAGGAGCAAATTGTCTCGGAGCACATTTGTCTTACGTAAGACCGATGCGGTCGCATTTGTCCCACACCTCAAATGTCTACCCAAAACTACTCATTTGTGTGACAAATGTGCTCGCATCAAGTTTTTTAAGGGACAAGAAAGCTTATTTGTCTCATGATTGTTAAGGGACAAGAAAGCACATTTGTCTCGTGTTTTTTAGCTCACCTGAGCACAAAGTGCTCAAGGGTGAGCTTTTGTCATCACTCTGCGTCCGTCGTGCGTCCTTCAAAAAATGGCGTCAAACTTTTCAAACAACATCTCCTCCTAAACCAAATGGCCAATTGCAACCAAACTTTACAGAAATGATCCTTAGGTAGACCCCTTTCAAAGTTTTTCAAAAATTTAAATTACATTAAAAACTCTGGTTGCCATGGCAACCAATAGGAAAAACTTAAACAATCTTCTTTTAAAAAAACCCTAAGAGCTAGAGCTTAGATATTTGGCATGAAACATCTTCTAATGAGTGTCTACCAAGTTTTGTTCAAATCAAAGCCCTGGGGTCAAAATTGGCCTCGCCCCAGGGGGTCATTGATTTTCCCTATATGCATATAGTAAAAACTTTAAAAAATCTTCTTTTAAAGAACTCAAAGAGCTAGAGCTAAGATATTTAGCATGAAACATGTTCTAATGGGTTTCTACCAAGTTTGTTCAAATAAAAGCCTTGGGGTCAAAATTGGCCCCGCCCCACGGGGTCATTGATTTTCCTTATATGTGTATAGCAAAAACATAAAAATCTTCTTTCAAAAAACCCAAATAGCTAGAGTTTAGATATTAAGCATGAAACATCTTCTAGTGAGTGTCTACCAAGTTTGTTCAAATAAAAGCCCTGGAGTCAAAATTGGCCCCGCCCCAGGGGGTCTTTGATTTTCCCTATATGCATATAGTAAAAACTTAAAAAATCTTCTTTTAAAGAACCCAAAGAGCTAGAGCTAAGATATTTAGCATAAAACATTTTCTAATGAGTGTCTACCAAGTTTGTTCAAATAAAAGCCCTAGGGTCAAAATTGGCCCCGCCCCAGGGGGTCATTGATTTTCCCTATATGCATATAGTAAAAACTTAAAAAATATTCTTTTAAAGAACTCAAAGAGTTAGAGCTAAGATATTTAGCATGAAACATGTTCTAATGGATGTCTACCAAGTTTGTTCAAATAAAAGCCCTGGGGTCAAAATTGGCCCCGCCCCGGGGGTCATTAATTTTCCTTATATGTGTATAGCAAAAACTTAAAAAATCTTTTTTGAAAAAAAACCAAAGTAGGTGGAGTTTAGATATTAAGCATGAAACATCTTCTAGTGAGTGTCTACAAAGTTTGTTCAAATAAAAGCCATGGGGTCAAAACTGGCCCCGCCCCGGGTGTCATTGATTTTCCTTATATGTGTATAGCAAAAACTTAAAAATCTTCTTTGAAAAAACCCAAATAGCTAGAGTTTAGATATTAAACATGAAACATCTTCTAGTAAGTGTCTACAAAGTTTGTTCAAATAAAAGCCCTGGGGTCAAAACTGGCCCCACCCCAGGGGTGTCATTGTTTTTAACTATATGTGTATATTAAAAACTTAAAAAATCTTCTTTTAAAAAACCCAATGAGCTAGAGCTTAGATGTTTAGCATGAAACATCTTCTTGTTGGTGTCTACCAAGTTTGTTCAAATAAAAGCCCATGGATTAAAATTGGCCCTGACGGGGTGGGGGGGGGGGAGTAGATCATTATATTTTCATTATAAAACTTAACATTGTGAAACATCTTCTAATGGGTGTCTTCCAAGTTTGTTCAAATAAAAGCCCTGGGGTTTAAACTGGCCCCGCTCCGGGTGCCTTTATACAGGTGAGCGACCTCAGGGCCATCATGGCCCTCTTGTTTATGAATTATTTGTCATAAATTTTCCCACGGCAGAAATGTTTTCGTAGTTTTACCTCATGTCAATTAAAAAGTCATCAATAGGTTTGCTTATGCTATTTTTTATGAAATCTCAAACCTAAAACCTACAGTGGAACTATTAATTCTAATATCTCTAATTCAAGAAATACGATTGGCTGAACCTAAAGGCGTACACTGAAACATACGGAATCCCGTTTACGATGGTGAAAAGGCGATGGTACGATGATGAAAACGCGATGGTCCGATGGTGAAAACACAATGATACGAACTGAAAACAACGATTGTACGATGGTGAAACAACGATGGTACCATATTGAAACAACGAAGGCACGATGTTGAAAACATGATGGTACGATGGTGAAAACACCATGTTACGACGGTGAAAATTGTACGATGATGAAACTGCGATGGCATGACGAAAAGGCGATATCATTTTCACCATCATACCATCGCATCATTGTGATTGCAGCATTTTGCTATCGTTGTTTCATCATCGTGCCATCTTGCATTCATCATCGTACCATCGTAACATTGCGCTTTCACCATTGTCGTGCATAGCGGTTCAGGTAGACGATATTTGTGCCTAAACGGAACACCGTTATCGAGCGATATTTTAATGAAACAATATCGGGCCCGTTTTGCATCTCGCGAGAATCGCGAGTCTCGCTTCGCATCTCGTACGTCGAAGCGAGACAAAAAAAGTCCTTCCAGGCAATATACCGCTAAATAATATTCCCTTCATACATATTCTATATAAAACTGACATTTTTTAAAGAGCTACAAAACATACCTAGACCCATTTTAGAGAACAAATACTTATCTCATCTTTAAACAGGTATGATGAAACTAATATAAAATAAGGGTATCTTCTTAGGAAAATTTCTAGCGTCACACTTGTTACTGTAATATAAATTAAAAAAATCTCACTGTATCCAACAAATCACAACGCATTCAAAGTTTAAAGGTAGCGCTGGCTTATAGAATTGTCAATAAATGCACAATCACAAATACACGGATGGATATGATGAAAATGAAAATGCTATTTTAGCGATGTCGATTACAGAATACTTCAGATAAATCTGACTGTCGAGTAGTGGAATATATACATGTAGGACTGTTTTGGCGGGAAGATTTTCGCTAAATTATTTACATCAATGTTAAACAACAGGTTTATCGTGAACAAAATACCTCGAAATTTATAAGGATTACAAACCCGAAATGCAATGGAAATTCTAAATTTAGAATAACTTTATTCAGCCTTACTTCGTACAACTTCTCTGTGGTGCAGGGATTTTTTAATATTTTTAAAAGCGTCTTTGTTAAGGAAGTAGCCACGATATGCAAGGATAAAGTGTGGCTGTCATAAAATAATGAACATAAATCATTTTTTGATGCAACTCTAGTAATGCAAAATTCCGTATGTATCAAACGCTTGTGCCCTGCAAGATGAATTATAGTGTATAAAAATAAACTTATACAGGAAAATACATACAGATATACAGTACGATTTAGATTGAAAAGATCAGAAATAACCACAGAGCTTGCAGCCCTTTGATTTTCCATATTCTTGGTATGTGCTGTTGTTTAATAATTAAGTTGCATATTTTTGTGAAAAAGTAGAACATAATGCATAAATTCACAAAGTAATGCCATGTCTGAAATTCTGAAATGTTTGTCTGTTGCGATAAAGATTGAAACGTCTGGTCGAAGCAAAATAAATTGGATAACAAGTAAAATTGAAATGATTGGTATACTTAAAATAAATTCAAGACAATATGTGCCGAGAATATGTTCATTTAAATATTGGTACGAATTGCATAATGTTCGAATGATTTAAGGACTAACTGTTCTGCATTGATCTCCCCTTACTGGCCGTAGCGTAACCGGTACGCAGAGTTTGGCGTACTTTTTAACGGTTGAGAGAGAACCGCCTCTCTGATAGTAGGCGTGGTTTAGGCTTTATAACTTGTAATTTAATAATTCGACAAGTGATATTGATCAAAGTTGTCCTGGTTCCCTTCCACCTCCTCAACGAAGACTAAATGCTAGTATACGGAGCATCATATTAAATTTGGCGACAATTTAAGGCGGAGCCGAACTTAAACAGAGGCGGAGCAAATGAAGTGAGTGACACTGCCTCAGTTGTTACCTCTCTCAACGGTTAAGTTTTTGAACGATCGACTATAGACTGGCTCATTGGCACGTTATTTATTATGTAGATAAAATTAGATAATGATAAAAAGAATATGATATTCAAACATAGCACTATCACTTCAGTTAAACGTATATTCTCATCGCTTACAGCTCTGATCAAAAAAGCTATCTTTATTAGAAACTGATTTGAATACAGTGTGATTTTGTTAAAACAAAAAATACACAAAATCAAGACTAAAAATTTCCCCATTGCTGTATGGACAAATGCATATCTACTAGACGCCGCGTTTATCGGCATGTTCGTTGATTGCCTGTATATATTTCTGGGGTTTACCTATTGTGATGACAGTGAAAGGGTTATTGGTGGAAAAGTCACATTCAGATGCTTGTTTTATTTACCTTTTTTTCTGGTGTTTCATAATATATCATGGCCCTGCATATTCTGTCTGTTCCTCTTTGTTGCATACCAACATTTAAATTGTTCTTACAAATTGAAACTTTTTTCTTAATTAGATCACAAATTGTACAAATAGATCATAATACTATTTGATTGTTTTTTGTTTTGCAGAACTTCGGCAGAGGAACACAAATACAGAAATAGAGACCGATGTAGAACCAGTGATTAGATTAAAACGAAATGTTGGAATTACTAGCGGAATATCGTTCATTGTTGGAAGTATCATAGGTAATGTTTCTGGTAAAATATAAAGTATGAGTTTTACTTTTAAATAAAGACATAATGCTTCATGCCCCCGCCATCATAATGACAAGAGGGCATAAAGTGTTATCCCTGTCCGTCGTGTGTGCAAATGTGCGTGCATGTGTTGTCCGGCCCATAACTCTGTCATGCATTATATCAAATGTTCGAGAACTCTCCTATACACAAACAGACAGTCGACGGAGCGGAAGTGCATTTTTACAACTTTCGGTGGATTGAAAAAAAAACTGTCTGTAGGCAGTTTGAGCCTATTTCAATCGGAATAAAATTTTGAACACTCTTAAAACAACTAGAATTCTAATATTGACTTAAATGTGAAACATTTTTTTAGGTTAAATTAACCCATTATTTTCATAAAATTAAAATGAATCCGTTAATGCACTTTTAATATTTCCATTTGCATGCATCGATAAATGATTTAAAACGGACGTCACTAGCAATTACGCCCTTTTAGATTATTTCTCAGGCTTTGCTAAAAGGGCATAACTACAGCATATTCGCTTTAAGAAATATTGCGTTATCATTTCTTTATTAATACAATATTTTTTTTTATCTATTACAATAATTAATTATAATTACTTACCATTTTCAAAGTATCTTAACTCTTTAATCCTATGACACTGCATGAGATGTAAATACATGTATAACACATAAAAACCAACCAATCACTGTTATGTTACATACTTGATTTATTTAAAACTGTTTTTCATTAAAATTGACTGCGATGAAAGCTGTTTATGAAACCTTAGAAGGTACAACACATTGCATCTTTTTATGTATACTAGTCCTTAAAACATAGGCTTGGAGTATGAGCTCTTTATTTATATGAAAACTGGCCCACTTTTACTTTGGCCCCACTAAGTCTTAGTGAAAATCAAACACGACTAACACTGGGCAATGCGGAATAATCTTAACAAATGGGTCATAATGGCTCTTGATCTCTCAGCTGAGAGACACATTTCTAGAAAAGGTCACAAGTATTCAATACAGAAGCAAACAATATATGTTTGTAAAATATGAATGTTCCCTGTCGGCTGACCATTAGCCTAGTGACCAAAATAACTACTGTTCATAACTAGTCACTAGGTCATTGTGACCGTAAAGGTTGTGTACCGCAAATTTATGACAAAGTTAAATCAATAGGGGTTATCTACTGGCCAAGACCAATGTACCTGTGAAGTTTGAAGTTTAATAGCCCATGAGTTGTTGAGATAGTGATCACCAACCGTTTTACCATTAAGGTCAACATGATGAAAATTAATTTCCCCCTAGAAGCATGTAAATTAACAAGAATTTCTGTACTTATTTTCAGAGATACATTTAGCACAGCCTTTTTATGTTGATATTTTCACTGATTCGAAGATATGTGCTAAGATATCAGATGTGGTGTATTTCCAAGTAACCTGTGTCTTACATTAGAGTAGATTGAATAGGATTGAACTATGAAAAATGATATTCTGATGCTAAGATAATAATATCACTTAGGAATCGGGGTTAATAAGCAAGACATACTACGGAATTCCACAAAATATAGCGTTCTGTTTACTGTCTATTGCTTGCTGTGCATATTTTAAAGCAATTATATTAAAACATTCCGAATATTGTGATAATGTCACAACATACAATGTCCTGTCTACTGCCCATTTCTAACTGATTACTTTTTGTTTCAAAATAAAGAATCTATTGCAATGACATTGGGCAAAGAACTATACAGTTGCCGAAATAGTTTGTGTTTTTGTATTTACTCATAGCTGGCAGTCACATAATCAATGAGAGGCACGCGTCAAGGCTGTCTCGAAACTGTTTTCGCTGCGAATATAGATATTAAGACAAGGTTTTAATTAAGGATCGATATTTATAGCTGACCTTTTATGCTTGTTGTTTTACTACTTCTGGACCGAATAATATGTAAAACGACATGTTTATACAACAGATAATCAAACGATGCAATTTCTCAGGATGAATATGTATACCTTATGTTGAAACTTTTCAGCAGCATATGGGTCACTTTGGCGGCAATCACTGCGAATCACTTGAATGGCATTACGCAATCTATTGTTGGTTTGGTTTTATAGTATATAGGTATATACTAATCAAGTAGTGTGTATTATATAATTAATCTTTTTAGCAAAGAGCTTAAATACGAACAAAGGTGTATTGTTAGTTAGATTATTTATATTAAACGTGTATTATAATAATGACAGAGGGGGTTATTTAGGAATTTTGATTAAAAGTATAGATAATGATTGCTTTTGGAGAAAATAAAATAGAATGTTTGTACTGGTATATTTATTTAAAAACCCGTAATCATTATGTCAAATTTGAATAAAATAAAAGCGTTACCATTTTTGGTCTAATAAGAAGAATAAATATGGATGAAAAATTGGTCGAATTTGATAGTTAAACAGAATAGTGATATCCCTCTTGAATAGATTCTTAAAGGGTATAAATGATATACTGAACTACTATACTTTTCGATGAGAAAATATTTATCGCGATATTTAATAAATTTATAATACTGCACGTTTGTAACGTCGCTTTTCATTGGATAATCGTGACGTTTATATAGTTTTATATACATGGCTGTTGTCGATTCATAAAGAAATCTTACTTTTTTCTCTAAAAAGTGATTTTTGCTGTATTATAAATTCGTTATTAAGATTGCTGAAAGGTTATATGTTCGTATATAAACGGCTGTTTGCAATAGCTTGCCTAGCGGCTCGGGTTATATTTACAAATAGCCGTTTATATAGGGCCATATAACCTGTCAACAATCTTTATAACTAATAATATAAACGTTATAATTATGTCTAATTTGAAGAATGTAGTTTTCTGGTCCATTCAGTTTTTCCGCTATCGCTCGGCCCATTTATCTACTAAAATTAAGTCATAACCAAATTTTAAATCAATACTTTAAAGCTACATTAAATAAATATGTAAAAATATTTTTGCCGTCGGCCTAAAAACCAAGCATTCTACAGATTCTTTAACCTTTTAAACAGTCTTGTTGTAAATCTCAACAAAAAATGTTCATAAATTAGGATTTTAAACGGAAAACCCCACGGTAACACTAAATTTTGTATGTATAGGATATCGACCGAGTACGAGGTCTTTCTGTTTAGGAAAGACCTGGTCACGAATTTCATGTGACACCGAAAGCGCGTAGCGCTTGAGGTGTTTCATGAAATTCGTGACCAGGTCTTTCCTAAACAGAAAGATCGATGTACGAGGCCGATATCCAACTTACACACCGTCAAACTATTGGCTTGAGCAATGGCTGATCTGAAACATTTGATGTTATGCACAAAGATGATTTTTAACAAAGCTCATTTACAGGTAAGCTTTTATCAACTTTCTGCTTAAATATAATATATATCTTGCATTTAACTTTGGTTTAGACGTATTTTTATTCAAGGTAATAAATACATGTTAATAATTTAAAAATTTAAGCAGAAAGGAATTGGACGAGAGCTACAGTAGCTCATGGTAGTCCTCTCCTTGCTTTTCCCTTTAAAATAATAATCAAAAAAGGTAAATGTGCAATTTGTCAATACTAAAGAGAATGGGTCTGTAATGGAAGGTATGTAAAAGCATGAATAATTTTTGTTGATAGTATTTTGTATAAGACATTGCAAATTCTAGGACATTTGCCCCCTCTCCCGAACAGTTGTCCTCTCGGACGCGTGCCCCCTTTGTGCTGTGGCGAATTGTTACTTGTCAGAGGTCATCTCGTGTATGAATATTATGTATTTTATTTTATTTATTTATGGATGCTAATTGGTTTTCACAAATTTGCACAGTTTTTGTTTATTTAAGCACAATTAGAATTTCGACAAAAGGCGATGAATTTTTGTAATAAACAATTCAAATTTTTTTTTAAATTTTTAAAACATGGCGGGGGAGGGGGGAGGAAACGACCAACCCTTTTAAAGATATGAAGGGGCAAATGTCCGCTACTGCAAAAAGGGAGAAAACTTCCGAGGGAACAACTGTCTGAGGGGCAAATGTCCGGATGTCCAGCAGACCAGGAAATACTTACATATGTATATTGTTGACAAGTGTGAGATACATGATCCGATTATAAAGTGTTATAGAATAAAATATGATCGCTCATCATATAAATCGTTATAACTTTACATTAACATTTCTTTTTCAAGATTTCTTTTAATAATATCCGAATCGTTTCTTTCGCTATTTTAATAACTTATGGGAGATGTGCCTTATGTAGACCAATCCACTTTAAGTACTTGTATATGCATGTCACTATAAGCAAGTTTTGGATTATATCTTTAACGTCTTTGAAACTAGGCCCTTGATTCGAAAGTTTTCAGGGGAACATTATCTTGTTTCAAAGAATGTATCCAGATTTTGTAAGACAGAAATATTATGACAATCATTAACATTTTATTTTCATTTTCAATTTTTGATTGCATTTCATGTTTTCTTTGTCTGCGCATAGGCAGTTCTATTTTTTCACGTATTTTTCATGACCGGGTCTGTCTGACTAGAACAGACCTGTGCACGTGATATACCTCATAACGGACTTTCTTTTGTTTAAACAGGTCTATCCGAAAAATATACACCTGTCACAAACAATAGAGGAGGTGTGTAAACGGATTTTAACATGCAAATGAAGATTATAATCAGCTTGTGTATGCGCTACGTCACAGTGTTATAGCTGCTATCCGGAACTCAACAAATATGAGATTTTCTTGTGCAAACACATTTTAACCGTTTAACTTCACGGTGCACTAGGCCTGAGGTTCAGTAAAAAGAAATCATCTCATAAAAAATATTAAATTTGTATGAAAACATCCGTAACAATACGGAAATATACCGTTAAATTAGGACTGCTACTTATAGTCATGTTTGTTGATTTAATATTGATGTACGGATTATCTGAAGGCGGAGTTTCTCATTCAAACAGATATTGTACTTCCGATTTTGCCACAATGAGGTTGTCCCTT